AACCTATTTTTTGTTTGCGTGTGCCCGAGTCTCTGACAGTGTACGAACCATAGTCCTTTTGCGGATCAAATATCTCCCACCTGCTAGCCGGGAATATGTGTTTATTACGTTCATACCAGGTACGCTGACAAACCTTCCCTGCATGCGTCTCATCTTTCTCCACCGACGCATCATTAGCCATTCTCACATCCTCGTGCACATCAAAACTAAACAACGGACCAGATTTACCTCTCGCCTTGCTTATAATCAGATCATAAAACGAATAATGATGTGGGATAATCAGATCCTCTTTAACATAAACCAGTCCATCCACAGTAGTGTTACGCAAATCCGGTACTTGTTTTCGACACCTATCGAGAAACTGCGCTATGCTATCACCCTTTAGACACCGTACTTGTTTTCGATGTCCTGAACCATCCCAGTAACTATAAGTAATATCTACTGATTCATTTTTCATCTTTTCTTGGTCACCTAGCCATTTTTGTCGTAACTCCTCACGTACTCGTGCTTCTTCTTCATCACGTTCTTTGTCTGGCAGAAAACTTGTATCCACTGATGGGTTTTTCTTACGCACTCCACCCACAACACGCACCAGATTATCATCGGCTTCGTCTTCGTCGTCGAAGGATAGCTTGGGTTTGGTGTTCTTTTTACCCCGTGGTTTTTTCTTCTTGTTATCGCTATGGTCGGTTTGGGCATTGCGTTTACGGATCAGTGTTTGGGCTGCTTCGCGCCGCCGTTCTTCTTCTAGTTCGTTTTTGATCCGCTGGAAATCGGAGAGCTGCACCAAACCGACTGTGGATTGCTTCAGTCTAGCCTCGACCGACTCGTCCTTGGCGACAAACCGACGTGCTCCCGAAGAAGAAGGGCCTGTCGTGGCTGCCGGCTTCTCTGAGCGACCAGTTGCGCCGCCACTGCTGCCATTATTGGCTGTGCTACTCATGGTCCTGGAAATAAAAAAGTGTGTATTATTAATGGAATTAATATAGATCAGTATTAAGCGGATAAGTGAATATGGTCGGATGATGATGTGAAAAACGGAGCTTAGCAAAAGAAAAAAAAGAGAGAAAAGAAAGGGATGATCGAGATGTACAAGAGAAATATTTTTTTTGTTATCACGTAAGGATGATTCAAACAATAGGTTTTGGGGGCGGAGGGGAAAGGGAAAAGACCTTTTTTTGTGTTTGTGTTTTGTTTTAATCTGCTTACAAATTCAGCCCCTGCGACGGTCTTTCTGGGAAATGATAGCCTGTGAGATACGCTGGATCTCCTGACGCAAAACACCTAAATTGACGCACACTTGCTGGTTGAGTTTGCCCAGGGTCTCGATCTTGCTCTTAAGGTCGTCCAACCGTACCTGGTCCAGCTCTCGCAACGGTCTGCTACGCTTCTTAGATCCCTCCCGCGCCGCCTCAACCATCACAGAATCGCCCTCTCCATCAGTGGTCGCCGACAACGTCCGCTTCGCCCCATGATGCGACTCTCCCCGTGATTCCACCCGTGGCTGTGGCTGTTGTTCCTCTACAGCCACAGTCTTTCCAGTCTTCTCGCTCTTCGCCCGTCTTTTCTCCTCTTGTAGCTCCTCCTGCAACCGCTGGATCTGCGATTCTAGCCCAGCACAGCTGGTCGTCAGTTCCTGCTCCCTTGTCTTGCGTCGCTCACGCAGCCGCGCGGCGCTCTGTGCGTTGCGTTTACGTCTTTTTAACAGCGCCTCGTCGGCGTCGTGTGGTGCACCAGCGGTATCTCCATCAGACGGCTCGTCGTCGTCGGCAGATCCTGTGGCATCCGTCTGCTTGCTCCCGCGGTCGGCGGACCCCGCCAACGGCGACACTGACGGCAGAGCAAACGACTCATTTGCGCCCGCCACCACCAGCCGCTGTTTTTGCTGCGCTGAAAACGTCCCTGTTGTCGGTCCAACGCGCGGCGCAGGCGGACGCGCAAACGCGTCGCTATACTGTTGCTGTTGATAATAGCTGTGGCTCGAATGAGACGACAACGGCACGTACTCTGGTGACTGGTCGTGAGACTGCGGCTTAGGTGCTGCAATCGGTGCTGGTCGCACGTGTGTGTAATTGTGCGAGTAATGTTGTTGGTGTGATGGCTGCGATGGCTGTGCGCGCGCCATTCCCGATACACCAGGCGATCCCTGCGTCGGACTGATTAGCATCGGTTCTCCTGAGTACTGCCCGTGGTGGTACCCACTTTCGTAACCGACATACCCGCTCTGATGGTGCGCCTTGTGGCTCTGGTGTGGCTGCGTTTGCGTATAATGGTTGAGTGGACTCGGTGCAGAAACCGGAGTTTCCAGCGGTGGCCGCGGCATATACGACGAACCGTATGCGTAGCCACGGTACTCATGCGACTGTGGCAGATGACCATATCCACTGTGTGCAGATGAAATCCGAGAAGTCGTTGTCGGCGTGTGCAGCTGCTGGTTTTGCGAGTGCGTTTGGGACTGGTGTTGGGACTGGGGCTGGCGAGGATGCGCGTGCAAGTGAGAAGATGTATTGGGGTGTTGGTGCTGATTCTGGCCAGGGCGCTGGTGCTGGTGCTGATGCTGGTGTTGGTGCTGATGATGCGCGTACTGCTGCCCGTGACCTCCTGGAGCTGCTGGAGCAGATAACTGCTGCTGTCCATACTGGTAGTGCTGGGCGTGTCTGTCCTGCGGATATCCCGGTGCCGTTCGAGGCGGGCTGCCAGTCAACGTCTTGATACTTGGGAGCTGGTACTCGCTGCGCCTCCCGCCATTGTCACCCATCTTTGTGTTCAACCAAAGAGATTAAAAGTAGATAAACTCTTTTTTAAAAAAATTATATCAGAAAGTAATAAAAAAGAAACACTAACAGAGCCAGAGCGTCGGATGTTTAAAAAAAATAATGAACGAGGATATATGCTCTGGTAGAGTGTGGAAATTTTTGGGGCAGAGAAAAAAAAGTGCAAGAAAAAAGGAGCAAAAGCCTGCAGCAGCCAGGAACAAGAAACAAAGGGGAGGAAAAAAGAAAATGAAGAGAGAAAAAAGGCAGACGCGAAGTGAAGAGGGGGAAAAAAATAAAATGAGGGAGCGGCCGAGTCACTACGTACTCATTGCACCAGCTGGCACTCACTCATTTGGCTGCCTACCAATCATTGGTTGCTCATTCGTACCTAAAATGATTGCGCCGCCTCATCATCCACGCATGCGGCTCAATGCCGACCAAAGTTTTTTTTTTATTAGATAAAAAAATTTTATCGTTTTTTTTTCTTGTCGATTCGGCTTGTTTCTGAATATACAAGGAAAAAACCTGAAAAATAATATTTATGTCGGTTTTTTCTTTTTGCTTCTCTTGCTCGGTTGCTTGGAATATACGCCCTTTTTTGTTATTGTAGCATACAGGTTGCTGCAATTGACAAAAAAAGAGGGGACATCATCATGATTGCCAGAAACTGAGCCCTTTTTCTTTTTTTTTTCCTTGTCCGCATTATTTTTCGTTGTCACTGACATGGTTGGGTGGCAATCTAATGCATGAAATAAAAAACAAACACATGTACTGATGATCTGGGAAGCATGCCCGCATTGCTCGTCGCCAATGACTCAACAACACATGTCTCGTTTTGCAAAACACATCCTTCGCCCTTTTTTATATTTTTTTGCTTAGCAAAATATGCATGCTAAATGGTTTAGGCAATTGTTATGTCCTCTGCTTTATACCATGTACAATCGCAATTTACCAAAGCCATAGTTACATTATATCGGATTTGGATGTTTTTACAGCTGACTGTGAATGAATAGCATTTAGTGGCGGCTCCTTTTTTTTCTGTTGCCACATGTAATGAATTAATATCTTTATGTACGATAGACATCTCTTATTTTTCCTGAAACGGGAAGAAATAAACAAACTTTTTTTTTTTGATTTTGCGTCCGCCGTTACTTTTGTCGGCCGATAAAAAAGCCATTTCAATCTAGACAATACAACAACAGTCAGATACACCTTTCAAAACGGAATTTCCATTTATTGGCCAAACGCTGCCTTTTCTTGATTCGTTTCAATTGTTGATGTTTACTGCGCTAGCTTTATTTATGGTACGACTTTTTTTTATAAATTTTCTTTTTCAATGACAGCAAAATAAATAAGCCGCATCCATTTAATAATCAACAATACATCTATCGCTTATCGCTGCTTGTAAACAGCAACCACAAAAATAATAATATTCGATTTTCAACCCAAAATATTAGTGCGATCATATTAATAAAAAATAATAAATCGCTTTATAAAATAATTGTTAATGTGACAGTATCACTAAAAGTCTCAAAGTTGCCGCAGTTCCAGAGATATTACCAGTCATGCTGCCAGTTTGCGCAAAAAACAATTACTGTAAATATTAAAAATGCAAAATAATTTAAAATAGTGTAACAACCTTGTAAAAAACAGCAAAAATCGGCTTGAACGGTGAAAGCTTCTTTGGCTCAGTCGGTAGAGCGTAGGTCTCATAATCCTAAGGTCGTGAGTTCGATCCTCACAGGAAGCACTCGTTTTTTGCTTATGCTAATTTTTGGCGTGAGGTTGTTTACATTTCTTTATGCTTGACGTTTTTGCATTTAAATTTTTTTTATTTGGAATAAACTATTCAAATTAACACCGCATTATTTATCGTGAAAGACAGGGATGACGGTGCAATCGAAAAACATGGCCAGATCAATAGAAATCGTAATCGATTGTTTGCAGTCTTTACCACCCAAAAAAATACTGCGATAAAAAAGCTCTCAAATGAGCAAACCAAAACCCAGACACGAATTACAGAGGAGATATTTTACATCAACTTGAAGTCGTTGCTTTATCAGCTTTTTCTACTCGTAAAGCATCTATTTTTCGAATAACTCCAATTGTGCTGGGACTATTCTTGAATTCGTTAAGAATGCAAAATCGAAGCAGTTTCTACTGAGCTAGTTGAAATAAAAAACGATTCAACCAGAAGCTAATGCAAAAACAAAAAATACATTTACAAAACGTCAAGCAAAAAAGTGCTTCCTGTGAGGATCGAACTCACGACCTTAGGATTATGAGACCTACGCTCTACCGACTGAGCCAAAGAAGCTTTCACCGTTCAAGCCGATTTTTGCTGTTTTTTACAAATAAAATTACATGTATATATAAAAATTATATTTTTTGTTAAAATTGTTGACGTTTGGGTTAATATTGTTGATAACGTTTTAGCTTGGATACAACACTGATTTGTTGAGTGCCGGGCTCCTAATGTCAAGATTTATTACAAAGTTTTGTAGAAATCTCTAACTGATACTTCTTATTTATGAAATATAAGTAAAAAAAACATGAATACCATAAAAAAATAATAGATAGGACCTAAACTAGATAGTTGCATGACCAAAAAGATAGGAGACAGATTCGCCATTGTGGGTGCGGCGGATAGCCTCAGCCAGAACAGCGCTAACATCGATGGTATCGAGTTTGGGGCACAGCTTTTTCTTTTCAGCATGAGGGATGGTGTTGGTGACAACAACGCGAGTAAGCATGCTGTTGTTAATAACATCCAGGGCTTTTCCAGACAAAACACCGTGAATCACAATAGCGTAGACGGCATTGGCACCGTTTTCCATCAAGGTTTTGGCTGCCAGACCCAGGGTTCCGCACGTATCGGCCATGTCGTCAACCAGAATGGCAACCTTGTCCTTGACGTCGCCGACCAGGACCATTCGCGACACCTCGTTTGCCTTCTTGCGCTCTTTGTGGATCAGCGCAAAGTCTAGATCAAGGTGATCAGCGATCGAAGTTGCGCGCTTGGCGCCTCCAGCGTCAGGAGAAACAATGATGGCGTTTTTCCAGTCGGGGATGTTTTCGCGGATGTACCTGAGCACCGATGGTTCACCGTACAAGTTGTCGACAGGACGATCAAAGAAACCCTGAATCTGGCTTGCATGCAGATCCATGGTGATCACATGGTCGGCGCCGGCGACAGTGAGCATGTTGGCGACCAGCTTGGCAGAGATAGGAGCGCGCGACTTGTCCTTCTTGTCCTGACGCGCATACGGGAAGCAAGGAAGCACGGCGGTGATTCTGCGAGCAGAGGCGGTCTTGCATGCATTGATCATGATAAGAAGCTCCATCAAGTGGTCGTTGATCTCGCCACAGCCCGACTGGATGATGTACACGTCCTCATCGCGAACGGATTCGCCAATTGTGACAGCGGTTTCCTGGTTGGAGTATTTTGATACTGTTACGTTGGCAAGATCGGTACCAAGACGCCTACAAATCAATTCCAAGAAAGGTGTTAAAAATGGGTTTAGTTAAAACAAAATCATTGGCTTTTTTATTTTTGAGATGCCAAGACGGTGTGGCCTATTTTACTCAGTTTTTTTTTCAATTGATATGGCCATATTCTTGGGTTCATCTCTTGGCTGTGATTTTTTTCCTATGCACGCCACTTTTGAGCTGCAAAGTCAGATATGGTATGTATGCAAAAGGGTGACTATAGAAAAACTTACTTTGCAATTAGCTTGGCAAGGGCAGGGTGCGAGTTGCCGGCTAGAATACGAATTGAATTGCTAGACATTTCGACGGTTCTGCTGTTGTGAGGGTGAGGTTTAAAAACAAAAGAGCAGGCTAACTGTTGGCAGTGGAGAACAACGGCAGCTGTATAGTATGAATAGCGGCTTTATCGATAGAGATGGATAAAACCAGAGGCAAAAAAAGAAGCACTGACGAATGCGTATGTCTATGGGTTGAGCTGATAAGCCGATAGCGATCTGATCAAGAAAAAACTAGATACAGAACAAGAGTGAGATAAAAAAAAGAAACCAAAAAGAAAGTCACATCTACAACATAATACAAAACGAAGAAAAGAAGAGAAGAAAAGGAAAGGAAGGACAGGGCAAGTGAAATAAAGCAAGAGACAATATCGGGAAAAAAATGCCGATAAAGCCAACAATCGCTGCCAGTCAAAAAAAAATTAAACCAGTGGCTCTAGCGCTAGAGTAAGGGGTTGTGTGCTATGTTCGGGAACCTCTTTCTCTAGGCACACTTGAAGCTCAAAGGGTGCGCGCAAAAAAATTTTTAACGCGGGCTAAAAGATAAAAAATTTTGGGGATGCACGGAGGTCAAGAGATAAACTGGCCTATTACTCGGCACGTGGAGAAAAATGGCATTGGGCGTGTCAGCCTTTTTGGCCTGCGGTTGTCTGCGGCAATTAAAGAGGTCGCTGATTCGACAGCCGATTAAATCACGAAAGCGCCGGAGCCTAAAGCGAAAGCGCGGCAGCAGTCACAAAAGAGAGCAGGTGCCAGTGTCCAGTGCAGCAAGTACCTGCCGAGATCTGCGTCCACAGACTGAGCTAAAAAAAGGCACTGACGGCTCCGTCCACGCGGTAGTCCCCATTTGTTGAGCCAAAGAAAAAGAATAAACCAAGAAACAGCATGGCTGTTGCTGGTTTGTGAGAAGACATTCCAGATGAGCAAACTCAGCAGACAGTCCAAGCTTGCTTTTCAGCTTTATTTATTTTTGGCTATGCGATTGCCCGCCTGTCTCGTCATCAAAACCTCGCAAGGCTGAAGAGCATGTTTTTTTATCAGACCGCATTGGCGGTGTATGTGTGTTTTCTTTGCGAATATTTTTATTTCTGGCGGTCTGCAGACGAATCACGGATCGCTGTTGCTGCTTCTCGAGAAATTCCAACCAACGACCGCATGCTAAAAAAAGATCTGTTTTTTTCTTCCCGAATTTTCCGTTTACAAGCTTCTAGAGCAATTTTATCTGCATGTTTTGCTTTGCGTGCAAAAAAGAAACAACAATAAAGGAAAGAAGGCTGCTGGAAAAAAAAATAGAGACAGTGTCGTGGACGATGTCCCTGTAGCGCTGTTGCAATAAAAACGGCATGGTATTCGCGTCCTTGTTTTTTTTTTTTCCGACAGCAAAAAAAGTACATCCGCCTTTCTTTACCTTTCGTTTACATCTATTCCTTTCTTTGTTTGCTCCTTGTCCTTAATTTGCGCTTTATCTCCCTCCTCTCTCACCCCCTAGTCTCTGCTTCAGTAACCAACTGCAAGCCGTAATAGCTGGTCTATATCCATGAAGCTCTCTCTGTTTTCATCTGCAGGGATTGGCGCGCTGTGCGCTGCCACCAGCGTCCTTGCCATCGACCCCATTGTCATCAAAGGCAGCAAGTTTTTCAATGAAAAGACGGGCGAGCAGTTCTTCTTCAAGGGCATTGCCTACCAGCCACGTACCGGTCTGACGACCGAGAACCCCGACCCGCTGGCGGACACTGTCGGCTGCAAGCGCGACGTCGAGCTGTTCAAGGACCTGGGTATCAACTCCATCCGTGTGTATGAAGTCGATTACAACAAAAACCACGATACCTGCATGAAACTGCTGGAAGATGCCGGGATCTACCTGATGCTGGACATGCCCTCGCCCAAGTACTCGATCAACCGCGCTCAGCCCTACTGGGATCACGACACCATGAGTCACTGGGCTGCAAAGGTCGACGCATTCGCCAAGTATCCCAATCTTGTTGGCTGGATTGCTGGTAACGAAGTTGCCAACGATAAGGATACCACGCCGTCTGCCGCCTTTGTCAAGGCTGCTATCCGTGATATGAAGGCGTATCTCAAGTCAAAGGGTCTCAAGACCCCTGTTGGCTACGCCGACAACGACGATATGGAGATTCGCATGAACTTGATCAACTACTTCAACTGCGGCGACGAGGAGACCCGCGCCGATTTTTACGGTATCAACACCTACAGATGGTGCGGCGACGACGCGACTTTCCAATCGTCCGGATACTCCGACATCACCAAGAACATGACCGACTACACCATCCCGTCGCTGATGACCGAGTACGGCTGCAACCTTGTGCGCCCGCGCGTGTTCCACGAGGTCGACTCGATTCTCGGCAGCGACATGAACGAAATCTTCTCCGGAGGCATCATGTACGAATTCACCGAAGAGGACAACAACTACGGTGTCGTCAAGGTATCTTACGGTAGCAGCAAGGTCGAAAAGACCGAGGACTACGACAACCTAAAGAAGGTCTACACCAAGGATGTGCCAAAGGGCGTCAAGATGTCTGAATACAAGCCCAGCGGCAAGGACAGCGTGTGCCCGCAGGTCAGCAGCGTGTGGAAGGTCAAGGGCGATACCTTGCCTCCGACTCCGTCTTCTGCCCGCTGCCAGTGCATGATAGACTCTCTGGGCTGCACCGTCAAGAAGCCTGAGCTGAATGCTGACGAGGGCAAGGCTCTGGGCGAGGTTATTGGCAACATCTGCGGCCAGACCGACTGCAAGGACATTTCCTACGACACCTCCAAGGGCGTCTACGGCAACTATGCTGCCTGCGAATCTCTCCAGCGGTCTGCATGGGCTCTGAACAAGAACTTTATCAACTCGCGCTACACCCAGTGCGAGGTCGACGGCGTTGACACCACCATTATCAAGTCGCCCAAGCAGGATGACACTGACGTCTGCCTCGCTATGAAGGACGATATGGGCAACATTGCTGCCCCCATTACTTCTTCGGATGACGACGGTGAAGAGCTGGGCAACAGCGATGACAGTGACGAAAAGTCTGGCAGTGGTAACAGCGACGATGACGAAGACGAAGACGACGAATCGTCGTCCCGCAAGTCATCCAAAACCTCCGCTGGCTCCAGACCACTTGTCAGCCGTGGTGTCGTTCAGCTGGTCGCCGGTGCCGCTGCTTTGGCCCTTGTTGCATTCTAATATCTTCTGATAGCTCCCGCTCAACAAAACCAATCTCAGTCTAGCATTGATCTATACCAATTTTTTATATTCAATACATATTGTTTTGAGAATAAGCCAGAAGAAAAAGTTTTCATTTATTGCCACACGTTTCTTTTACCGCTTTTTTGCCTGATAAAACAGCATATAGCAATCATATCGTTTTCGCTGCCCTTTCCTCTCCTTTGCTTGTGTTTATTTGTGTTTATTTGCATTAAACAAAAATAGAAATTCGACGATTTTTCTTTCTCTTTTTCTCTTTTATTTAGAATTCAAGCAATTACATTCTCAAGCAACCAGAGGATGGAGAGTCGGCAGGGTGTGCTTTCTGTCCTTGAGCAGGCT